TTTCAAGATAAATAAATCTCTTCCCTAACAGTTAGGTAAATACCCCCGCAGAAAAATATCGACTATAATATATATATATAAAAGATTTTGTTGCGATGATCTTCATAGAATAAGGTCTACATCAGAGCATCTCTGTAAAACATTTTGTCCCGATTATTTTTGTTAAATACTTAAATTTTATATTCGGCAGGTTAACACTACAACGCGTGTATCATTAAACATTTATGTTTCGGTGGTTTCAAAAATAAACACTCATTGACAGACTGATGACAATAATCACACTAAACTTCAGCCTTGTAAAATTTTCATAAAAGACTTAAACTCTGGAGAAACGCGTTTTGTAATTGCTAACCTTTTCGGAAGGGAGGCATGTTTTTGAAGTAACAAATTAAGCAGCTGATTTGTAAATCAACTTTATCGTTTACCATAATCACCATGATTTTAGCGCCCTAGAATCTCTTTTTTTTGTAGCATGTTTCCCTTCCAGGACCTCCGAAAGGAAGTTACTAAAATGCCGAAATGACAGGCTTCGGAGGTTCGGAGCTCCCTCTATAACTTCAAAAACGCTCATCGACACGGCCAACAGACTTACTCAGAATAATGAACTCATCATTTCCAACAACAAGGCGTAACGTCACATTGTTGAATTTATTGGCAGAATCCAAGTTCCATCAATTTGCAAGAATCACTGAGAAGTTGGCTAACACATAATTACCATTAACAATAGAAGTGATGTCATGATGGCGTCATTTCCTATCAAAGAAGGATATAGAACAGTCCGCCATCTTGGATCCGTCATTTTAAAATTATATAAATGACTAATGTATTCAAGTTTAGTCGTAAAAATCGAGGTAATCGTGATAGAAAAAAAAACGATACTTGGATCATTAGCATGTGGCCTTTCAGCCAATATCGTGTTCTAAAAATTAACGTTACACGCACTATTTACCACAAAGCTCCAGATGTTCACATCAATCATATTATTGATGAAAAAAAAACAAGATGAGAAAAGGAGCAGGTGCCAGTCAGACCTTTACATTGGAACTCGTTTAGCGTTTATCATCACTATTGAAACGATCGCACATTTAGACACGTTGCTGCCAAAAGGATTGCTATTGTAATCACAAGATTCGAAGCCATTTTGACGTGTTTTTACAGTTTTTTACAGTGTTGTTGTTGTTGTTTTTTTTTTTCGCACAATTCTGTTTTTACTGTCACGCCATCACAAATGAAAGTGCAAGCCAGCCAATACAGAAAGTCCAGAATCTGGGAACCATAAGAAAACAAATATACTAAAAGCCTCGCCAAGAACCAGGTCTGTGCGATAATTCATATGCGAGATATTCGGAAAGACGCTTTAGCCAAATTTGAATGGAGACGCCATGTTGGTGTCCCTTTGAAGGGCACAAATATGTCCGCCAGAAACCAACAGAAACATCTGTTTTTAAGTTTTCTTAATTATGTGTAAATTTTTTGCTCGGGGAGCGCATAAAGATTTAAGTGATATTTATTCTAAGACAAGGGAAGTTTAGATCGTAGCAAAATATCAAACAATCACTAACGTTTATAACCCACATTAGAGCTTTCCCGGCCGCCAGCTAAATGGCACGTAACGTACGCAAAAACCTGGAAATTCATGTGTCTTCTATCGCAAAACGAAAAACCCCATGGAACCAAAAATTTGTATGAATAGAGGTCTTTAGGAGCTGTAATACCTCATGAAAGTAGAAACTCAGAAGAATCGGTAGTTTCTTAATTTGAATTTCGGTGGCGTCATGTGAAAAATCCTTAATCGCTGACGCCTTTGTCAATAATAACGTAACGAATGAGTGGTTTCACTTTTGATACATGCCCGAGTCATATACCTCTTTGTTGCCTTATCGTTAGATTTGCTAGGATACGAAATGGATAATGATCACCATGAATTAGCCTTCTCTAATAGTTAAAAGATAGAGATAGGAAAACAAAAAAACCAATTGCCATTAGAATAATTGACTTTACACCGCGGGATCGCATGACCAATTACAAAAATTTATATGCATCTCTTGCAGGTATTAAAAACCCATTAAAAGAGAAAAAGATACGTGTCAGTTAACAAGACGATTATAGAGAGTAAGCTAAAATTGCGTCCAACTAGAATGGTACAAAAGGCGTCAAGTTACAGACTCTATGCAGTACATACAGGAACCGTTCACACTTAGCTGTCATCCTTTTGTTCGTCGGTATGAAGAAAATCTCGTCTTCGCTGGTTTTTCTCTCATGTGTTTTGCTAGTTGTACTGCTTGTAAGTTATCAAGATGTAGACGCCGCCGCTCCGTGGCCAGCTAGTGGACGCTTTAAGGTAAAAAAACTAAATATTTTATAGAACGTTTTTGATTGATGAGAATTTTTCAGTCCATGAACAGGCCGGGCTCGGAAGAAAAAAAAAATACGAGTACACCCTGGTTAACATCTGGAACAGTAACCAAAAGTTCATATAGGTTCGACTTCTGTTGGAATTACTGAGATTTCTTTTATCTCAGCGAGATCTCTGTTATCTCGTCCGAGATCTCTCTGCGACATTACAAATCAGTCTCGTAGAGGTCTCGGCGAGATCTTTTCGCCATTACAAATCTCGCCGAGATTTCGGTTAAATTGTTGCACCGGTCGGATTTATGTTTTTTTTTTTTATTCTGAGCCGCCTATGTCACTCAAAAAAAAAAATCCTGGCTCATGTATGTACCACAAGGCTGAAAAATCACCATCACATCTGAATCATTTAGATTCATGTTCACGATTCATATTTATTTCCCTTTGTTTTTCGGTACTGATGGTAATATATGATGGTGAGTTTAAAACAAAAGAAAATAAAAATTTAAACCAAGGATAAAATTGAACCACAACGTACATAGTCAGCCTTATGTTTTTTTGTTTTTTTGTTTTTTTTTGTTTAGTCTCTGCAAGACAAACGGTACGGAAATTCAGAGGAAAGACATCAGTTTCTTACTCAGCAAGACAAAAGACGCCTTCGCCGTTCGAAAAGCAATGGCGCCATGTTCAAAGTTAATTTTTAGAAAGTACATTGTACCTATAGGTTTCATTATTATAAATGTTCATAAAATTGACACAGTTGTAATCTTGTGCTGATTAAAATCACTCATTTTGAAAAAACAAACACTGGTGTAGATATGTGTATCATGTATCACGAAACATCCAGCGTTGTTTCACTTTATGAGACTATGCGCTCCCCAAGGAAATAGGACAAGAGCGACTGTGCCAGACTGATATTAAGAATCTGTTAAATTATTAATATGAGAATTTTTCAGATTAGTTGCAAATTTTCAGTGAAACTTGAGCAAGGTTATCATCTGATGAGCGAAATTGCTATGAAGTTATCAGCCGAGCAAAACGATGTAGCCTGCGAGAAGCGATCAGAAGCGATCCGCGAGAGCACACTCGAGGGAGCGTCTCCTTTCGCTTGCGGCTCTCAGGTGACTTTTCGCGATGACTCTAAATGGAGAGCTTGCTTGCAGGCTAAAAATAGTGCTACGCCAATTCTTATTATTAATATGAAGATCTCCGCAAGCTAGCTAGTGCTGACTAAATTAGGAAGACGTTTGCGATGTCTAGTAAAATGACGTCAATAGTGTAGGACTAATAACAAGAAAAAGGCACGGCAACCAGGTTACCCTGAAAACGAGGTTGTGTTAGCTCATGATCAGATGAGTTTGGAAGAACTTGAAAAAAGGGGGCAAATTTTGACACGTCTTGCGAAGAAAACAAGCCGAACTTCGGCCTAAAAACATAGCATAAGCAGCGAATACCGCATTTTCCTCGAGTAAGCACCAGGGGCTTTTTTTCTTTTCTTTTTTTTCGGTAATTACGTTTTACATCGGACCTTAGTGCAATTAAACAGTTTACACACAGAGTTATCAATAATGTGATAATAGAAACAGTTACTATCATTATCATCCCTACTATTTAAGAAAATAAGGAACTTAAGCAACGGCGACGGCGATGGCTATGAAAAAATCACTTAAAATAAGAATTCTCGCTGCTTCAAACTTTATCGCGCTTATCCCATCTCGTTCAATTCGTCAAATTTTGCCATTTTTTTTCTGGAGTTGAATCCTAAAAGACTATATCGGAGTTCAGCAAAAGGAAAAGAAATTTGTTGTCCTGTGTTCAGCCACGTCCTCCACAAAACGTGATATTAGGTATATATTTTCACGTCGTAGTCGTGCAGTGACGGCAAAGAAATGTACAAAAAAGCATGATGCAGGTGCAGAGTCGTTGTTTTGCTAATCTAAACCTGTTGCTTTTTTTGTTGTTCTCGTTGACGTCGCCGTCGTCGTTGCTTATAGGTGATGTTACATGAGACAATTCGCACACGATGATTTTTAGCGCAACACAGCGTTGCAACATTGTTGCGACGTTGTTTCGAATTGTTACAACATTGTTCCAACATTACAACGCTGTGTTGCACTGTGTTGCACCCGTGTAACATCACCTTATACTCTCTAGTTACGGGGGAGAGGAGGGGGCGCTTATTGGAGGGGTGGGATGGGCGCTTATTTGAGAATATACGGTATACAACTCTATATCTGCTATGACAAACATTTCAGTTCTATCCTGAATTTGCCAAGGAACAGGTGAATAGAGACGGGAACTTTACAATGACTGAGGTTATGCAAGCTTTTAAATTCAAAATGATTCTAGATGAATAATAAGACATTATTGGATCTGACTTTCGAATAAGCTGAAGAATTATACAGATCTCGGTCAGAGGGTGTTATCCGTCTCGGTCGATAACCAACCCCCACGGGGGGAGGGGGAAGATTACTCCTGATTTCAAGGGACAGGGGTGATCGAAGAATTTTTTGAGGTTTGAAATTTCCTATTTCCGGATTTTTTGGGGGGTAAGAATATTTTGGAAAGTATTTTTTGGGGGGTATTTTTTTGATTTTTATGGCTCGGAAATTCGGCATGGAATTTATTTGGAGCAAGAGCCATAATAGTCCCATTATGGATCTTGTTTGGAGTTAGATTTTGTTCCACGGATTTTTTTTTTTTTTTTTTTTGAAGCCCTAGGGATTTATTTTTTTTTTTTTTTGGGGGGGGGTTGACTTTTGCCCCTATTCGATCATCCCTGTGACTTGAATCCGGAGGACACCCCGGGAACCAACCCTGGCATCCTCAATCTGCATAATCCTGCAGGTCATATTCTGACTCATTTAACATATAATAATTATTGTTAAATGACTTTCTGCTCTTTGGCAATGAGGCGTTTCACATCTTCCTCTCTCTAAAAAACCGAAGAGATCCCATAATTTCACAAATTCAGGTTTTGTGACGTCATCACTTGTTTTACTCTATTTTCTCTGAGATAACCGTCTTCATACAATATGGGTTAATTTTTTGACTGGTGAGGTCTTCTCACATGATGTTCACTGTGTTGGGTTTAATAATCTCTTAAATGAACATTCAGATTTGTTGTGCCTAGAAGATAACCAGGAAGAAATTAACACTGCCAATAAATCCTGATGTTTTAACCTAAGCTGCCTGCAAACCTTTAATTGGAATAGTTCTCTACAAAAATCTCACTCATAAGTGTTGTTAAACTCCGTTTACGCTGGGCAAGAAGAATTTCCGGTTTCGAAGTTCAAGACTATTAGCTCACAATCACCAATAAAACAAGTTAAAACAAGTCAGATTCATAACTACAGAACAAGATCTGTCTCTAGCGACTCGTTTTATGTTAAGTTCTCTAGAACCGATAAAATGTATGCCTTTTTCACGAGAATCGGTGCCCAAATTTGGAACTCTATTCCGTATTCGATTAAAATACTTAAACGTTCGTCCTTTCGTAAAAAAATAAAGGAATTATTACTAAATTTTTTGCGGTCAGAAGATGATTATGTCGAAGTCTCCCGTCTTATTAAGTTATTTAATACTTTAGTTAACCTCTCTTCGTAATCGTTATGTACATGCCTTGTTTTTTGTTTTTTGTTTTATGTTAGTTTAAACTCTATTTACTGTATTGTAGTGTCTTCACTGTTATTTAGTCCATCTATATATAATTCTTGTTTTGTAATATGTCTTCAGCTCCCCCCGCCTCGATTAGTTCATAAGCTATTTGCGGGTGGGAAAGTAATGTAATTAGTTATTTTCCAATTTTCAATAAAATTTGTTGTTGTTGTAAATTTGTTGTTGTTGTTGTTGTAATTAACCCTTCATTCCTCGACGGTCTAGGCCTATCAAAAACTCAGAAGGGCTTCCCTTCTTGGCCCAAGATGCCGTGCATGGCTATATCTCCTTTAAACTATTAGAAGCTAAGCTTGTAGCACCTTGAGATATAAGTAAAAACAAGCACAAACTTAAAACACTGTTAGTACGCTGGCAAAAGCCTTCTTCTCATATTCATCGCTTGTCTGTCATTTCACCAAGCTTATTTAGATTAATTGTCCCCCGCATTTCCTTATTTCGTGTATGGGTCAATCTCATGTTAAACCTTAAAAAGAAACAGCTAAATCCGGTTACATTTGAATGACCTCTTTTACAGCAAGAAGCTTTCTTAGCACAATTATACAGCGTTTTCCCTCACGTGGCCAGCATCTATGCTAATTTATGGGAACAAAAGAAAATTTTTACGTAACAAAAGAGTTCAATTCCCACAGGGTTGTCTTGGTACACCAACATGGCCGCCGTGTTTTGGACCACCAAAATGGCCACCGTGACGTCATGTGAAAACACTCTAAACTGACAAGGACAGTCTGTCATCAAAATGGTTCAAGCCCCGCAAATGACTTCCTCTTTTTCTTCTTTTCCTTATTTTAAATTCGAATCTCGAACGATTCTCAAGCAAAGTTCCATTGTATAATGCAAGGAAAGAATGCCAGTCTAAAGCTACATTTAAAAGAATGGTCTCCTGCTTTGTTTGCAAAAGCATGTAATCGATAATGGCGTGTATCACGCTGCTTAATTGGGAAAAAAATACTTTGCTAAAGGTCTTTAAATGGCAAAAACAACCCAGTGGTATTCTTATTTATGGTTAGAACTTTAGAAAGGTGTCCAAATCGGCAAAATGAAATTGCTATTACATTGAGTTCCGATTACCAAAGTTGAAACAAAACATGCGATCTCTAAAGTGCCCTGCCAAGTGGTCTGAAAGGCTTGAAGAGATTGATAATAAAGCGTACCCTTTCCAAATAAACACCAATTACAAAACTGCAAAATAACAACGGAAAAATCGACCTAGTATGTAAAGAAATCCAAATGAATACAGTCTTGGATTCTGGATTCCACGCCGTAGATTTCGGGTTCCAGCAACTGGAGTCCTGGTTCTTTGTCAGTGACACTTGGATTACGGATTCCGATCGTTAACGGGATTACGGATTCCTTGAGTTGTATTCCGGATTTCAAAGCCCAGGACTCCGAAACCGCGAGCCGAATTTTTCCTGATTCCCGATTCCATAAGCGAAAATTTCACCGATTGCGGAATCCGGATTCCTTTACACGAGG